GTCAGGTCCAGTAACAACAAAAGCTTTTAAAGTCACTGTAATTTTGATCCTCATTCAGATTCCCAATTTTTATGCTGTACCGCTCAAAAAATAAAAAACAATTAAAAAGACACCAACCATCCCCACTCCCAACACAGCACTTTCTATTTGCTGTTGTTGTTAGGTGCCATCGAGTCGGTACCGACTCATAGCAACTTTATGTACAGCAGAATGAAACACTGCCCGGTCCTGGGCCAACCTTACTACTGTTGCCAAGCTTGATTGAGTCCATCGATGCTGCCACTTGGCCAATCCATCTCATTGGGGGGTCTTCCTCTTTTTCTCTGACCCTTCACCTATCAAACATGATATTCTTCTCCAGAAACTGGTCCCTCCTGACAATATGTCCAAAATATGAAAGACAAAGTTTGGCCATCTTGGACTCTAAGGAGCACTCTGGCTGTACTTCTTCCAAAATGGATCTGTTGGTTATTTTGGCAACCCATGACATTTTCAATATTCTCCAATAACACCATAACTCAAAATCGTCAGTTCTTCTATGGTCTTCCTTAGTCACTGTGCAGCTTTCACTTGTGTATGAGGTTCTATTCAGATGGGTACAATAATTCATTGCCATGGACACACAGAACTCAGACACCATACTCAAAGTTATGGGCAGGGCTTACTAGAGAAGTTAGCAGGTTAGAATTCAGGGTCGGAAATGTTCAGGGCACAATTCCTCCTATCAGGACAGCCTTTCCTCTGCTGTACCCACAGGGAGCTCATTCTCTGACCCTCTGCTTCTTGGCCTGGCCTCTGTCCTCCTTTGGCAGTATTACAAAGCTCTTTTAGAACTGCTGATAAATGTTAACAGAGCACAATTTCTACCATAAAGCTCAGCCTGAAGGCACTCAACTCTAACTCTGTGGGTCAACAAACCTATCTCCCCCAGTTAAGTGCCTTGAAGCACACCACCCTACAAGAAAGGTTCCTGCCCAAAGTCATTTAGCTTTATTTGCTCGATGGGCTGGGAAGTCCACTAGTCTTTCTTGTGTTCTGGCTCTTGATTCTGTGCCACTCCTCAGGTATTACATCTTTCTGTCCCTGGGTGGAAGAGGTTCAACAGACTGAGATATCTGGGTCCAAAGGATGTGCTCTATACCTGGCTTTTCTTTGATGTTATTGAGATTCCCCTCCTGCTACTGAGATGGCTTCTTTTAAACCCAGCAGGATAGTAACATTGTTCCATCCCCTCATTAGATTTCTAAGTGTTACAGTCAAGGAACTCTGGTAGTGCAGTGGTTACGAGTCAGGTTACTAACCTCAAGGTCAGCAGTTTGAAACAAACAGCCATTCCATGGGAGAAAGTTGAGGCTTTCTTCTCCTGTAAAGAAGTGGTTGTGGTGGTTATGTTCCATGGAGTTGGTTCCAACTCATAGCGACCCTGTACAGGATTTCTGAGGCTGTAAATCTTTTGGGGAGCACAAAGTCTCATTTTACTCCTGCAGAACAGCTGGCATTTTCGAACTGCTGACCTTAAGGTTTGCAGCCCGATTTGTAACCACTATGCTACCAGAGCTCAAGTAAAGATGTACAGCCTCAGAAATCCTATATAGGGTCACTATAAGTTGGAACCAACTTCATGGCACACCACCACCACCACCACCACGATCACTCATAAATGAATCATAGAATCCATCAACATCTTCCCCCACCGTCTCTTACCCAAACCCATTAAGAAAGAAAGTAATTTGGTGGATATTTACAAAGACTATGGCTGCAGGAAACATTGAATAGTTCACTACATAGCACATACATTAAATTCTGAGATTATAAAAGGAGACTTGATTAATGACTGAGTCCCTCCCATGCCACTCTGCTGGGACATGACCTTCACAATTTCTTTTCCTACATGTGGTTCATGTGAGCTCATGGCTGGTAGAGACTTTAAAGGTCATCATGCCTTGTGACTACACCAAAGCATGCACGCAGAAAGGTCAGCCCCAATCTCTTGCCATTTTCTTTCTGACAGTTAGAGACAAAGTGAGAATCAAAAGTTTGTGACCAAAGACAGAGAAATGAGACACTGAGAAAACTATTTTTATATATTCCCTCTTACACTGACAGCAAGAAGTAAATTGTTGGGATTAGTAAAAATAAAAAGATGTCTATCGTATTTTAAATCAATATAAAATTGGAGGGAGAATTTTCTTTATAAAGAAAAATTTAATTGAAATACATTATTAAGGAAAAATCTGTAACCATCACTCTTAACAAACTATGGAAGAGGTTTTCAGGAATTATTTTCCTTATTGCTTTTCACTTGTCGGTCATATTTGGATACTCAGTTTGGCTATTGCAGCATGAAATTTAATGTTTAAAATTAGATGCCTGAGAATTCAAATGAATCATCAAGATTGCAATCATTAACACAAATTTATATTTTATGAGCAAACAATTCACAAAAAGCTAATTATAATGATTTTTCTTTAAAGATGACTGATGCCAAATGAAGGACTTTTGTTTTCTTATGCTTCATATTTGAGGAGACTAATTACTTAATATCGCCAATAGAAATTGTATTCACCTAGACAATGGATGGAGTCCTGGTGTGACACTGTAGGCTAAGCATTGGATTGCTAAGGGAAATGTCATTGGTCCAAACTGATCTATACACTGTCACTATGACTCAGAACCAACTGAACACACTTAATAACAATGAAAACAATACAATATATATGTAAAACTTGTTCCTTATAAGGTTATTGTAAGATTTCTATATAGAAAACAAAGCACTTTAACTCTTGACCACCCCATCTGTGTCAGAGAATTGTGCTCCATATAGTTTTGGGTGGCTGATTTTCCAGCAGTAGATCACCAAGCCTTGCTTCCAAGGTACTTGTGGATGGACTCAATCTTCCACCTTTTCAGTTAATGCTGACTATGTTAACCATTTGAACCACTCAGGGGCTCTTTCATATGTAATGTTGTTGTTTAGTGCCATCAAGTTGGCTCCAACTCACAGCAATGGTTTCTGAGGACTGGCTTGTGGATTTGAATCACAGACCTTGTGGATAGTAGTTGAGTGCTTACTCTATAGAGCCATGTCAGTACTCCATAAATTAATTTTGCTTTCCAAACATACGTGTTGTAATAATAAAACTTATGTAAAATGTTTGGCACTGCACCTTTTCCATCCCTGTTCCTTCCATTTTAATAATTGTCCTGAAACCAGATATGTTCTGTGCAAAACACCTTCTTCACTGAAATAATTTTCTGAATAAAGTTTGCAAAGCCCCAATACAACCCTATCTGTCACAATGACAATATAAAATATTCCTTTGATTTTAGTAGTAACTCATAAATTTGACATTGCTTTATGTTACAAAAATCACTATATTTCATTTGTAATATTACATTTTTTGAAATATAATTCATATGAAATATTTCTGAATGTTTTATTTTTGTAACATGATGTTCCTCCCAATTCACTGAAGTCTCAACTTGCCACTGGAAAGAGAATTAAACATGTGTGACATGCATTTTAACTTTTTAGTACCACAAAATAATGCAAATGAAATTTAAATCCTATAAGCATTTATGCTTAAAAGATATAGAAATTCTTATACAAACAGCCTGTTTCTATGAGATATTTGTCTGGTACATTTACATCTAAAACATGAATTTATATGTTTCAAATTAAGCAAAAACAAAAAACAAAAAACTGCTACTTACCTAAATTACTTAAAATTCTCTTTTGTAATAAAATGGAATGTAAATTTTCAAGACTAAATATTGCACATTGCACATTGATATGTAAGAACCAAAGTGGTTGCTAGTATTTGTACATAGAGGAGAGCAATTTCTTTTAAGATGATGCTTGTAATCTAAATAAAATCAGAGCAGCAAATTGTCATTTTGATTTTCAACCATATCCATTTTGTGAGCAAATAGTATAAAGAGTAATGCTTGCATTTCCATATGCTTTACCAGTGACTTGGATTTTCAGAGAATGTTTTCAAATTAACCTCATCAAAAACACCAATACATTATAGAAATATCAATAAGCAAGACTTTATCACTCAATTATCTTATTATGTCTGGAAGAAATGACAGCAAATCATGTTTCATTAGAACATTTTATACTGTGCATGTACATAGATACAGTGTAATTGTAATGGATATGTACATGTATGTATATATATAAGGAGGTATCAAAAAGTTAGTGGAAAACTGCCATTGAATGATAATGGAATTTTTCCACAAATTTTTGAAGCCCTCTCATATATATGTAATATATATGCCATCTGCATATGTGTAACATTTTATAATCACAATTGCATTTTCTTTATTACTACACCATCACTTTTGCTGTGCAGTTCAGTACCACATTATTTTCATTTCAACCACAGCTACATCATTGCTATTGCCAGAATCTCTGTTTTGTTTTGTTTTTGTTTTTTCTTTTGAGAAAATATACAATTTAAAATTGTTTTTTTCTTTTTTTTTATCAGAAAGGAAAGTCATCAAGAATTAGATTTTATTTTAGGAACAAAGTAAGGTTTCATGGGAGAAAAAAACAAAGCCTTGGTGTAGAGAAGGTTTGTTCATTTTCTATAGCATTATGAAGTGTCCGTATGCTTTGATATACCAATCAATGTTTGGATCATCTTAATGGGGGAAATGACTTAATTTAACTCTATTTTGGTGTCTCAGCAAAGGTAAGTTGGCTATTTTGAGAGCTCTGAGGTTTCTTTGACTGGGGAACTTTATACTGCTGCATTTGTGAATGAACCCCTAAAATCTGCCTGGCTAAATTGTTACCTCAATTTCCCCAAGTAGAAAAGGTGGGTGGCAAGTGGGTGGTGGAGGAGGTGATGGGAACTGGTTGGGAGCTTACCAGGTGGAATTGTCTTAAAACCTGTATCTTGTATTCATAATAAGCTAGGTAAGAGACAAAGCAGTAGTAAGATGAAGAAACTTCTAGTTTAACTGATGATCTATTATTTCGTGTCCTTTAGTGTCTCTCTTTCAATGCCATTATGGAAGAGCTGGGCATCTCACTCAAGAATCAGAAAAAGTTAAAGAAAAAGTCAAGAACTAAGGGGAAATCTTCCTTCACAAGTATCCTTACTTGTCATCAGAGACGAACTCAAAGAAAAGAGACTGTGGCATGATCCCAGAAAACATCTGTAGGAAACTTTCAGGGAACAAAAAAGGATATACTCATGACAGATTTCTGGTGAAAGAATTTCTGGCAGGCATGCAAAGACATCACAAATATCTGTGCATATAACTCAGGTTATATGTACACAAAAGTTCACATCAACAGATACTACTTGGGAAATGGCGCTGTTTCTTTTGAAATGAATTTGTATGCTCATATATTTTGCATTTTCTCTTTCTCCTCCAAATAAATTGCTGTCTGTGCTTTCTAAATAATAATAAAACAGCAGGGTTGTTTGTTTTTATTGTGTTGTTGTTGTTGTTGTTTCAGAACAATTTTCATTGTCAGTTTGTTCCCCATTTCTTGCTGCTATTCAGTTTTGTTTATGAAGGATCACCTGTGGTTGAGCTTGCTGTTTTAAAGAAGCCTCTTACTCAGATAAAAAGAAGATACTGTGGAGTGGACTCTGACACATGGCAACCCTGTGTGCCGAGTAGAATTATGCTCCATAGGATTTTCACTGATGATTTTTTCAGAAATACAGTACTACCCTTTCCTTCCAAGGGACCTCTGGGTAGATTTGAATCTTCCACATTTTGGTGGTCAGCACAGCATGTTAGTCATTTGTACCACACAGGGATACCAGTTGTTTAGATAGAAAAAGTGATTTCTAAGTTTTTTAAAAAAATTGTTTTTAATAATACCAAATACCTAGTTATGATATTATAGTGAAATCATTCAACTTTGTGTTTTGAAAAATCGAATTTCATAAATAATTCAGATGGTGCTCACAATATCAGTAAGTATACACTAAAGGGATACTGAGAAGAAAAAACTCATTAAACAACAAAATAGTACTCATCACAGTGTGCACAACACTCTAGCTTCTGGGGTAACATGGTAAGGAATAAAGCTATGCTATGTCCTGGTGTGGCGCTGTGGGCTAATGAGTCAGACTGCAAAGTCCTTTGAGCTGCAAGGTAGGTAGTTCAAGCTCACCAGCTGCTCCTTGGAAACCCTATGCAGGGTCGCTGTGGGTCGGAATTGACTCGACGGCGTTTAACAACAACAACATTGTCCTCACATTACTGTCAATTCTGTTCTGATTCATAATGACATTATGCACAACAGAATGGTCCTGAACCATCTTATAATTGTTGTTACACTTGAGCCCACTGCTACTGCTACTGTGTCAGCCCACCTCCTTGAGATTCTTCCTCTTTTCTCACTGATCCTCTACTTTGCCAAACATGATGTCCTTCTCCAAGGACTGGCTGCTCCTGATACCACATCCAAAGTCTGAGAAACAAAGTTTTGCCATCTTGGTTTCTAAGGGGCATTCTGGCTGTACTTCTAAGACAGATTTGTTTGTTCTTCTGACAGTCCACAGTATTTGGAATATTTTTTTTTTTCCAATTGGTATAATTCAAATGCATCTATTCTTCTATGGGCGGCCTTATTAATTGTCTAACTTTCACATGCTTATGAGGCTATTGAAAATACTATGGCTTGGGTCAGACACACCTTGGTTCTCAGTGATCTCATTGTTTCTTTATACTTTAAAGATGTCTGCAGCAAATTTGCCTAATGCAATATGTCATTTGATTTCTTGACTGCTGCTTCCATGAGTGTTGATTGTGAATCTAAGCATAATGAAGTAGAGGGTGTGGAAATGATTCTTGTTGTAAGGACTTGTTCCCTCTTTTGAGCTACTGCTTCCATTGGTGTAGGTCAAGTTCATCAAATTGTATGAGAATACTTTTTTTTTTTTCCCTCTTCTTTTTACTTCTAGTTGAGCTCTGATCATCCAGTCACTGAAGCCAGGATAAGTGGGTATTATCTGCAACTGTGGGTGTTCTTATGCATATGTCCTCTCTTCTTATCAGCTGGTCACTTCACTCTAGTCCTCTGTGGCTATGTCACTGACTCTGGGCCCAAGAGTCCCCAAGACTTGCCACACTGCTGGCTAACCAGGTCTTCACCCGGGTTCACAGAAGTCTATTGAACTTTGTAGGGCTTAGCTCACTGCTTCATGGCTGTTTTTCCCTCACTTCCCCTTATCGGTGTTGAGCGTGGTCATCAATTACAGCGTGTATTCCCATTGAGTCTTAGTCTTGGAAGGGGGTTTGCACTGAGGGGACCCGACCACTTGCCTTGATGTTTCCTGGGCAAGCAAGTTGCTTGTTCTTGTAGTAACAGTCAGTCTGCCTATGTTGTTTTATATTTTTCCTGTAGGTCTTTCTTTCAAGAAGTATCTTCTGTTCTTCTAGCCACTCCAGGTTGGTCTGCTTATCCTTTCAAGTGGGAATTTCCCATCTCTAGAGATCTGGATGTGGTTCAGGCTTCCACCTATAGTCTTATGTACTGCAGAGGCTCCGCAGGAAGCCTCCTTTATTGGGCACATTGTAGCCCCATTTTAGGTATTCCAATCAGTTATAGGCAGAAGATGGACTTACAAGCTTTCTATGGTGATGCTTTTCGCTATTCCTTTCTCTCCCCCTCCAGTGTCTATTTTATAATATAATGCAAGGAAAACCAAGATTCAAAAGACAGCCAAGCATCTTAATATTATTCCCCCATTTTCCACATTCCAATCATGGCTCGATGTCTGTATCCCAGAACCTGTTGTTCCCAGGTTGTGCATATATCATTATTTACCTCTGTCTCACTTAGCCCATTGAGATCTGTCTAATTGTTCTCCCATCTGCTTTGTTCTTCCATTCCCCTCTCCGTACTTGAATATTGTCCCCTCCTTAGCACCCAAACTATCCTGTGTCTAATCCCTGCCTTGTGCTCCACCTTCCCCTCCCTTCCCTCACCCACCCCAACAGTCCAATAATCAACAAAGAATCCCCACCACCCACCTTTAGTATGGGTTCTTTCCCTTAGTCTTTTACAGTAGTGGTCCTATGCAGTATTACTCTTTTTGTGATTGACTAATTTCACTCAACATAATGCCCTCAAGGTTCATCCATGTTATGCATTCCATTTCATTGTTGACAATGTCCAAGTTTCCTAGATTCATACCTCATAATTCCATCTTCAGATTATTAATGGATACTTGCAACTGTTTCTCCTTATTTTGAGTTGTGCCCCATCAGTAAATGAATATCTTCAGAGCTTTACTTCATTCCCATCATTATGGTCAACTTTATTTTCAGTAAGCAGCTATGCTAGTTGTTGTGCTTCAAGTGCCTTCCACATGAAAGGACTCATCTTGTGTCACTATATCTGACAATGTTTTGTTGCTATACCTAATGTTTTCATCTTCTGATACTGTATCTGACAATGTTCTGCTGATATGCATAAGATTTTCAATGAGTAACCATTCAGAAGTAGTCTTCCTCTCTTTCTTCCAAGTCCTAATCTAAAGTTCCAGTGAAACCTGTCCATCATGGGTGACTGAGCTGGCATTTGAAAAAGCTGGCATTTAAAAAGTGACATAGCTTTCAGTATCACAGCAACACACAAGCCATCACAATATGACAAACTGATAGACAAGTGTTCATGTCTTCACATAGTTTATTGTAAGATGAAGAAGAAAACTCATCTATTACTCTAAGAAGGATTAGAAGTTACTCTAGGGAAATCAGATTCTAAAAGAACACACAACACAAGTACTTAGCCTGAATCAGGAGCTAAGACATCTTCCTGGAGGAAAAAATACAAATAAAAAACAACAACAATAAGAATCACTCAGAGTTATTCAGGGAATGGAAGTACATAAGCCAGGAAAGTCAAACAATCCAGACTGAGAGATAAGCATTTTCATGGAAGGCATGAAAATGAAAGACAGCAGGGCCAGCATGTTGAAGAAGACAAGAATTTGGTGTGGCTAAACTGTGGGTTAATGTGCTAGACTGCAACGTCAATTTGAACAGGAAGGTCAGTGTTTCAAGCTCACCAACTTTTTCCTCAGAATTCCCAAACAGGGTCACTATGGTTAGAATCGACTGGCCAGCACTTAACAACAACAGCAAAAAACTGAAATATGAACACATGTGAAGCTCTAAAGTCCCTGTATGATTAACACACTAACTGAAAGGTTTGCAGTTCAAGTGTATCCAGAGACATTTTGGAAGAAAGTCCTGGCAACCTACTTCTGAAAATAACAGACACTGAAAATTCTATGAAGCAGAAATCTGACATGTATGGATGGGATCACAGTGAGTTGTTATCTACTTGAAGCAACTGGCTTTTGTGGTACAGGTAGTAGAAAAAATAACTGTGGTAGAGAAAGAGCTGACTGAAGAAAGACTAGAATGAGGGAGAGAGGGGATTCACTTAAAAGACTCGTTCAGTAACCAGGCAAAGGATATTATGGCCTGGACCCAAGTAGTGGCAGCAAGACTACCAAATGAGGGAGAAAAGGAATGTTGAGACCCAATTCAGTTGGCCAGAAATTCAGGGGAAAAGACCATGAGAAAGTGAGGTGTCAAGAAACTCTCCACATTTTGAGTGAGGCTTAATTAGGGAGGAACATCTTCCACTAGGAATCCTGGTGTGGTGCTGTGGGTTACTGCGTCAGACTGCAAAGCTGTTTTAACTGCAAGGTTGGTGGTTCTAACTCACCAGTTGTGCCTTAGAAATCCTATACAGGGTCGCTATGGGTTGGAACCACCTCGACGGCACTTCACAACAACAACAACAATCTTCCACTGTGTCAGGAAACAATGAGAAAGGAGCAGATGTTGGCTTACTATTTCATATAATTAAGTCCCCTTGTTTTCTTTAGGGTAATTCTATACTACATGAAGAGTCCTGGTGTGGTGCCATAAGATAAGTGCTCAACCTCAAGGTCAATTTGAACACAAGGTCAGTGGTTTAAATTCACCAGCTGTTCCTCAGAAACCCTATACAAAGTCACTATGAGTCAAATGGCACTTAACAATAACAACAACAATACTACATGAGGAGTTCTAGTGTGGTGCTGTAGGATAATCACTGGATCACTAACCACAAGGTCAGCAGTTCAAACACGCCAGTTGTTCCTCAGAAACTGTACAGGGATGCTATGAGTCAGATCTGACTTGAGCGAACTTAACAATAACAGTAACAACATATCATATGAAGTATTGAGTCTAGTTTCCTCAGTGTTTAAGTACAAAAATATTTCCAGTCATAAAAAAAAAAAAAAAAATCACCATTAAA